GGGTCTTCAAGGAGGGAATTAGGATTCGCTGAGGTCACAAGGCTGGCATCCCCCCCCACCCGGATGGGACGACTGTCATTACAAGAGTCCCCAGAAGACATGGCCCCCGTGTCTGCTCTCAACCATGCCGGGACACACCAAGAAGCAAGCCATCGGTAGCCCAGAGGAGAGACCTTGCCAGGGCTCTACCGTGTTGGCACCCAGATGTCAAAGTTCCAGCCTCCGAAAGTGTAACATGTAAACCCCTGTGTCTTTAATAAACCACCCGGTTTGGGGCATTTAGTTAGAGAAGTCCAAGTGCACCAAAATGCCAATGTTGGGGCTCATTCAAGATGGCAGCCTTTGGCCCATTTTGTGGGATGAGGGCTCCCCCCTAGGTTTACGGTTGGGAGTGAGGTGAGCTGCACACTGTGTGCAGAGCAGAGTTCTCTGCAGGCGGAGGGGGGGCGGGGAAAACCAAGTTCTTGGCTCCCTCTGTCTAGCCCTGAGCTCCTGCCTCATGCAGGGACTCACAGATGCCTCCCCAGAAGAAACACATGAGCTCCTGCTTTACCTGCACCCCGATCTTACAGACCAGGCCTCTGAGGTCCAGGTGTCCCCAGGGCCACGCTCCCTCCACAGGCTCCAGGGAGGGGCCTTCCTGCCTCTTCCAGCTCCGGGGGCGCCAGGCGTCCCTGGGGCAGCGGCTATGCCTGGATTGCAGGCCAGGCTCCCAGTAGGGGGCGCACGAGAGGCAACCACACACGGATGTTTCTCTCTCTCTTTCTCCCTCCCTTCCCCTCTCTCTCTAAAATAAATAAGTAAAGTACCTTTTTAAAAAATGGAGGAACAACTACCCGCCAGACTTCTGTACTTGGAAACGTCCTTTCCTCCTATTTTTTTTTCTAATTTCTGACTTTCCCAGGGTGGTCCGATGTCGGCACCATCATGCATGTCTGCTCTATAGCGCCCTCCCAAGACGAATAGCATTAAAGGGTGAACGCAATATTCCCTGTTGCTGAGCAATACACAACACTTCTGATTGCTATGGCAACCCCACCATCATGACCCCCATTCCGTACACAGCAAAATCTCACTGGACCCGACTGCACTTGGTCTGGAGGGGTGCTCAGGGGTGCTCAGGTGCAACAGCGCAAGGACAGCCCAGGCGGAAAGGAGAGATGGTAGGGCCAATTCAAGGAAACCAAGATCGGAGGTGAAAGGGGTGTCAGTAAGCTGGAAAACGCTTCTCAGTGCTTGGGAGAGAACTTGAGGATGACGGATTCACGAAGCAAAGTCTCCCAGATTTCAACAAAATACACGTTTGCCATCTCGTGATGTGAAATAGTAAACAAATGAAAGCATTAGTAAAGAAAGTAAATAGTAAAGAAATCGAGCATTAGCGGGTGGCTGGTGAAGAGCGGGTGAGCTGTGTGCCTTGATTTGGGGCACGGGGGTGTCTAAGTCGACGCCCCCTGTCTAGAAATACACAGGCACCCACGCTCAGAAACACAAAGTGGACCCTGTAGGAAGCTGGGAGCAGGGAGCAGGGTCTCTTGTCCCGGAAGGGATGTGGCCCACACTGCCATTCTGGCTTCCATATTGCGCTACAGCCTCCAGAGACGTCACTGTGTCCCCAGGGGGGGAGGCCAAAAGAGTCTACGTAGAGCTTTTGGAATGCCCTTGGAGGTTATAATTATGTCGCTAGAGATCGACATATATATGTTTGATCAGCAGCTACAGCCATGCACAAGGAGGCGAGGAGCACCCAGCTTGGTTCTATGCACCGGGATTGTGGGAGATGGGGGACAAGCCATTTCTTCTCTAGTGAGCGGTGTGGCTGCCTTGAGTCCGAGTCTGTCCGTCTGTGACGTCACAGTTCAGCTGAGATGGACGCCCAAGTGTCCCCTGGGCTTTAAGAAGACCTGGCACCGTGAGAGTGTTCACCAACACACCTCGTGTGTTCTTCCAGGAGATTCTGAATGCAGGGACCAGTGGTCCATCTGGAACGCCCACAATGGTCCCCAACCTAACACACAGAACTAGGACATGGGACAGCCCCTGACGTCACACTCTTCCTCTTTCAGAACCCGGGCACGGGGTCCACTCTTGCCAACATTGCTGTCTACTCCCAGCTGGATCCCAGCCTTGTGGCACCTCCCAGAGGGTGCCACTGTCTTCACAGCCAAGTGCCCTAAGACATCATCGTCACCTCAGCCCTGTCTCATGGATTGGGAGTCAGCAATTCTGTCCCCAGTGTGGGGACTGCCCCCCATGCCAAACTCACGGGCAAAAACAAAGGGTACGTGGGTGACAAAAAGAGCCTGTCACCCTCTCGGGGAGACACCAGACTAAAGGAACAGGGACACGAGCAAGGGGCACAGACTCCAAATAGCCTTCAGAGAGCAGTGTCAGCTGAACTCTGCCTTTGCACTGTGACTTGTCCTAGAAGCTTGCAAGGGATGGGGACAGTGAGGGTGAAGAAAGGGTAACAGGAGTTTGGGGTTCTGTCACGAATCTGTGTGCGTGGGGGTTGGATGCCTAGGACAGAGAATCACCTCGGTCAGCAGGAAAAGTGCACACAGACAGACACCCTCAGAAAACTCAGAGCCCCTCTGGGCGCCTGTTTGGGGCGGGGAGACACTTGGGATGGGACCCGGGAGCAGGCAGAGAGGACGTTATTTTCCTGAGTTGGAAACTTTGGTAGGAGAGCGTGCGTGTCCACCCTGACTACCTTCTCATGGCAGATACAGAGCCCTCTGTCCCATGTGCAGCGGGCTGAGGGCACCCTACAGGGTGACTCAGACACACCCAACTCTGAGGCTTTGGGGAAGGCTTGTGATTTTTTCTCCTTTGTAAGCTTACTCTTAATCTCTTGAGTCAATCATGCTCAGATTCATCTCTCTCTCACCAATATTCAAGAAAGGAGTTGGGGGTCACAGGTTGCAGAGAGTGTCAGCAGCTTTGACGAGGGCCAGGCACGCTGGTCTAGATTCCTGTCCCCTGTGTGTCCAACCCCTGAAACTGTGACAGCCAGCCTCTCCCTCCACGCCCGTGCAGCCCACAAGAAGTTACCCTGGACAAGTGCCCATCATGTTCATTCAGACAAGCAAGAGGAAGGATCAAAACAGCTCCCTTCCATCCCCGCAGGCGGTGACATTCTATTTTGAAGGACATGACTCACTGGGCACCTATGCCCACTTGGCAGCACCCACCAGGCGAGGTCCCGTCTGCAGACCACCCACCTGCCCGGCACCGGCTCAGCGCCCTGGCCTCCAGCCGCCGTGGCCGCCACGACAGACCCAAGCATGTGCCCAAAAGGAACACAACGGCGCGACCAGGTGCCAAGGGGCAGCGGGGTGGCCACCAACTTTCCATTGTTTACCTGCTTTCCACCTCCTGTGTGACTCCACGGGCCTGGGTCCCCATTCCTCGGTGGACATGTGCTCAACACATCAGCGGACAGAACAAGGAGGAGGAAAGTGTGACAGAGGAACAAGAATGAGAAGAAGAGGAAGAGGAGGAAGAAGAGAAAAGGAGAGACAAATAGAGGAAGAGAGAGAGGAGGCCACACGCAGGTACGGATGGGCGGATGCACAGACTCACAGGCAGGTTCGTAGGTACACAGGTGGGCAGATACATAGACGGAAGAAAAGGAAAGAGGCTGAAAGAGGAAGACAAGAGCGTCCCACACTGAAGTCACAGCCTGTCACCCTGAGCCTCACACCCTGACACTGGGGCTGCAGGACGCTCAGATGTGGGGTGTCCTGGGCCCCGTGTGGGAAGGTGTTCAGCAGCCTCACCGGTCTCGGTCTCCACCCACCAGGCAGCAGTAGCACGGCCTCCCCAGTTGTGACAACCACAGATGTCCCCAGACATCTCCGCATGTCCCCAAAGGCACAGCCACCTCTCTTACACACCTTCCCCACAGGTGGATAAATAGATATGGAACGAGGAGAGGGCCTCGCATGCCCTCCCACGCCCGCCACCCCACATCAGGTTGCCTGCCCAGGTCTTCCTTACACGCAGCTCCATTTGGAAGAGAGAGAAGTCCCCTTTCACTGTCCTTCTGGCTCTGGACCTTCTCACCCTGAGCGCACGCACCCTACTACGCTCCTCTTTCCCCAATCTGGGGCAGGGGGAGAGGGAAGAACCTTCTTACACACCCCTGCCTCACGGGTCACCCTCAGCATGCCCCGAGTCAGGTCCATAAACGAAAGGTTGGCGCAACTCCTTGGCACCGTTGCCAAGCAGCCACCCGCGAGCTTGAGCGCACGGCTTGAACTCAGGACCTCGCAGGGTCACGCATCTCTCCACCCAGTCTGGCCGGACCCATCAGCCGCCGCGTTTCGGGATTCAGGCGCCCGGGAGACCGGTAAGTTACGTTCCCAGTAGCCCAGTGGCGGGGGATCCAATTGGAAGAGAGAGGTCAGAAGGAAAAAGAAGGCGTCTGGTGAAAGGATGACAAGTGTCGGATGCTGGGCATGAAAAGCCACAGCGGTTTCAGGAAACGTCTCGTCCATCCCCCGTGTCCCAACCCCACAGTGCCGCGGGACGCCCGTGCCCAAAGCAGTTCGTTCCAAGGCCCACCTTAGACGCTGCCTCCTGCCCCGGGGCGGAGGAGCGCTCCTTCACCTCCCCAGTGGCCTCCTCTTCCCCCGGGGGTCCCAGCTTGGGAAGGCGCCTGAGGTCCCCAGTGCGAGGTCACCTCCAGGAACTTTTGTGACGTCGGGGAACCCAGGCACCTGAGTGGTTTAGTGGCGGCAGGTATCAATAAGGTAGGTGCCTTTGGAGGCACCGGGTGGGGCGCTGGCAGCTAGGGAGGTACTCGGGGGGTCCGGGGGGACTCACTCCAACTCTCCGGGCGTCTGTGGGACCGAGGGCGCCGGAGCAGGCGGGACCAGGCGGAGAGCTCCACAGGAGGCAGCCGGGGGACGACACTCCGGGAGCTTTGTCTGCCGCCCGGGATGCGGGCGGCGCCGAGCACCCCTGCGGGCCAGGTCCCCACGTCTCGCACTCACCCACGGTGGCCAGTGTGTCGAAGTCTTGCAGGCTGTAGTCAGGCGGCTCGGACGCGGGGGTGTCAGAGCCGGGTCCCTGAGCGGGCGCCTCATCGGGGGTGTCTCCCGGGCTCTTGGGAGGGTCGGGGTCTGCCGCGGCCGCTTTGGCCAGCCCGGGCGCCTCCATGGGGTCGCGCTCCAGGGCGGGGAGCCTCGCAGGACCAGGAGAAGAGGAGAGCAGGACTTTCTGGGACGCAGCCTCGGTGCGGCGCAGCAGCGTTAGCATCAGCTGCGCCCACCCATGCGCGCCCCTCGTCTCCCGACCGACGGCCCGGCTTAGCTGGCAGGGCGGCGGGGACAAAGGCGCGGCGCGGGGCGGCGTTTACTGCAGCGGCGGCGGCGGCTGGTAGGAGTCGCCGGCGGCTTCGGCGGGCGGCGCGGCTTCGGCGTTGGACGCGGCTCGGCTGCGCGGAGAAGAAGCAGGGTCCCGGCTGCTGGAGCCGGGTACCAAGACCATTCCTCGTGTCCCGACTCTGCCACGACTGGGGCCAGAAGAGCTGTGTGCCTGATAATAGGTAGTCGGGCGGAAGCGCCCAGGGCGGGGCCGCGCTCTCCCCGCCCCCGAGGACCCGCCTGCGGGGCGGGGTCTCTCGCTGTCGCGGACTCGCCCCGCCCCCCGAGTCCCCGCCCTGCAACCGTGAGGGGGGACGAGGGGGGGGATGGTCTCACCACACGGGGCGGGCAGCTTTGGGGAGGTGCCCACGCCCCTCCGCGCCCCGGGCCACCCCAGGGTGGGGTGCCTGCCGACGTCCCCCGGGAGGATGCGGGAAATTGGCCTCAGAGGTCGCTGGGCCGCAGCCCGGAAAGTCGGGGACGCGGAGAGTGTGAGGCACACCGAAGTCAAAAAAATAAAACCGAACGAGCAGTTAAAGGCGGATGGGAGTCAGGGTGAGCTGCGCCGCGACCCCAAGTCCCCACGGAGGTGCGGGGTCAGCTTCCTGGCCTCGCTGCAGGGACTGGAGCGGGGCGGGACGCGGACTGTGTCGCGTGGGCGCAGGGTGCCACGGGCCTCTGGGACGTTTTGGGATGGCTTCCTCGAAACCCGCAACTATTTCCAAAGAACCGTTAAAGTCGTAACACTGATAATAACCGATTTCAGAGGTAGAACAACGAAAAGGCTGCGCGTGCAACTGGATGGGCCGCTGTCCCAGACACGCACCAGGGACACTTGGAAAAGCAGTCATTGCTTGTGTGTGTGGCAGGCCAGATTTGTGCATTTAGAGACACTGCAAAATGACTAGTGTGCATCGCAAATTCTAATGTCGCTGGGGGTCCTGCGTTTTCAATGGCCGCTATCCGCCCCTCCCCCGCCCACCCCGGCATCTGGTTAAAACGCACGCTGGCTTCCGCGGGCCCTGAAAGCCCCGGTGCTAACCAGGGCCCCCGGCTGTCCCAGGTGCAGGTCCACGGAAGCCACTGGGAGCAGAACCGGGGCACCCAGCCCGCCACTTTGTTCACAGGGGTCTCCGCGATTCCGATCGTGGGGGGGGGGGGCGGGGAGTGTCCCGCCCGCGGGGAAGGTTTCTTGGAGAAGCAAGGCCACATGTAAGGAACAAATTCAAAGCGGAAACCTTTACCAGCTCAAGCCTGGTGGCTCTCGGGGAGGGGGCGACAGGAAACCGGAACTGGCTCTGGGTGTGGTTCTCTGGCCCGGGCCGCCAGCCTCGCCCCGCCTCTTCATGGGCGCTCTGTGGGTGGCATTTTCGCCCGGCGTGACGCCTGCTCTTCTCCCCGCCGGTTGCCAAATCTGCAGCTGGAATTTGAAAAATGCGCGCCAGGAGTGGGCCGCGCGTACCCGTGCGCCCAGCCTGGCGACAATAACGAGGCGATCCCTCGCCTGGGCCAAAAGGCCCCGCCCACCCCAGCGGCTTGGGGACATCGGGTCTGTCCACACGGGGCGAGGGCCTGTGTGTCTCCCCACGGGGAGCCCTGCGCCCTCTCCACGTGGGTTCCGTCTTTGGACTGCGGGGCTGGGGGCTGCTGTGCTTCCGTGCCCAGGGTCCCGCGGATTCCGCCGCACTGAGTTGAGGACATCCTTTGCCCGCCTCATTGCGCCCAGCCACACAATGCCAGGATCAAATTCTGGGCTGCAGAGTGGCCGTGAGCCCTTCTGCTCCCACCCTCGAGTCTGACCACCTACCTTCCTCCCTTCCCCCAAAATGTCCCGGGGCCGGTGTCGCGAGGCCTGGCTGTACCCAGCAGCTTTCACCTGCGAGGGTGGCCTGCATTGCTCAGAAAACACAGCCACGGCACTGGAAAGGCCAAAAAGCTCGGGTGAGGCCGGCGTCCCGGCACCATTCCCGCCTCTGGAGTGGCGAGCGCAGGAACCCCAATACGACTCCTGGCCCCCCCCGAGTGTTAGCCAATTCAACAGCGATAAAAACAGCCCATGAGGGCGCTTCTTTCGGGGTATATGATATGCGTACACACACACACACATTTCTGCATATGGAGGAATGCGTGTGCCCACGTGAATCTGTGTAAATATACGTGCATAGGTGTGCATATATACTGAGTTAAAACGGCAAAGAAGCACCCAGTTACCTTCCGAGACTTCAGAGTTCATGTGTGGTGTAGCATTTATTCTAATACATCCTATTCCATATATTCTAATGGATTTTATCATAAAGTCTATGACTTCTAATGCAAGCACAGGGATAAAAAAAGTTCTCAGCTGCCTCCACAGATTTTAAAATTTCCATAGATCGTATTACAGTTGAAATGCTCTGTAATATATTGTGCACACTATAATATATACTATACTATATACAGTATAGTATATATTCCATTTTATTTTATACCCTTTTTAAAAAGATTTTATTTACTTATCTTTAGAGGGGAAGGGAAGGAGAGAGGGAGAGAAACATCAATGTGTGGTTGCCTCTCATGGGTCCCCTGCTGGGAACTGGCCTGCAACCCAGGCATGTGCCCTGACTGGGAATCGAACTGCAATCATTGGGTTCACAGGCCCACGCTCAATCCACTGAGCTACACCAGCCAGGGCGTATATTTTTATATATTATAAAAGAATTGTTAAGCCACCTTCACACATATTACAAATTATATGTACAATATTAGATGTTATGTATATTATGTTGTCAGGGTTCCATAATACATTCTAGTGTATGTTGAAATATAATATTGTTTACTATATATTCTGAAACATATGTTTTAAAAGAAAGGTGCAGTTGGGTTCACAGACCTGATGATTTATATATATATGTATATATATATACATATATATACATTATATATCTAATGTTGCATGGTATATATTCTAAATGTTTTTCATATACAGTCTAATATATTACACATATCCTAATTTTATTATATACTCTAATACATACATTTTCAAGAGTGTTCAGCTGCCTTCACAGACATTATGATGATTAATTTAAAAGGCCCCTGTATACATTCTGTGTTAACCACCTGTATGTGGAGGGCTACACACCCAGGTAAACAGATACCAGGAAATAACAGAGTGCCTTCTGCCCGACTTTGGGAGAAGTCACCCCGAAACTTCTGGAAGGAGACCTTCCCTGCCACATGCAAATCCCTGGGCAGCTGGGTCTGGCTGGGCAAGGAGATTTCAGACCCTACATTGAGTAGAGAGAGGCTCACTTGGGATTCGGCCTTAGCAGGCAGGCAGGGAACAGGGTGACCCGTCTGGGTCCAGGCTGAGGCCCCAGACTTCAGCAGGGAGATCTCGACACAGTTCCCAGAAAGCCCCCCATGGAAGGGGGGCTCTGCTAAGGCATTTCCCAGATTTGGGGCATCGCTCCTACTGTCCTGGGGTGAGGGATCGGGAAGGCACTCCTGGGGGCCTCGGGTGCCGCCACCGTGCCCAGGAACATCTTCCTGGCAAGGACAAAGTCAGGTACATTCAAGCACGCACTGTGACTCGCTTTGCCCGCATGGGCTTTGCCGTGGTCACCAGACGACCGCGTGGTGGACACAGGTTGCTTTGATCTGTTAGGAATTCCTGATAAGCTAGGGTGGTGTCTAACTTCTGTTCCCTGTGACGCCAATTCCTTTGAATGACCCTGAAGAAGAACTAGTCATCCCTGAACTCTGAGCCCTCGGTCTCTGATCAGGGCCCAGCGTTCTAGACATCTTTCCTGGGAGTGGAACAGACTGTTCCTGCAACAACTGCAGCCTCACGTCTCCAGGTACATTAGAATTTCAGGTGCAGGACAGTGTCCAGACCCAAAATATGTCTACCAGCGCCCTAGCGGGGGAGCCAGAAAGGCCTTGTGTGGGAACAGCAGTGTGGTGTCTGAATACACCTCTGGCGAGGGGGCTGTGAATTCCAAGTGGGCTTAGGGCAATGAATTTATTCATATAATAACCTGCATGGTGAACTAGCTTCAGGTTCCGAGAAACATTCACCCATCACCAACCTCGCACGCAAAATCGAACCCTACACTACTTACTCTAGAAGTTGAAGTTTAAACATCGGAGACTGTGCTCACTTCCAGCCAAGATGGAGGTTTATGTAGGCACCCTGGGCCTCCTCACACAACCCAAAGAAGGGCAACAACACATTTAAAAACCAAAAAAAAACACAAAAAACCAGAACTGCCAGAAAATGAAACTGTATGGAAGTCCGACAACCATGGAATGAAAGCAGAAACCTTCATACAGACCAGTAGGAGGGGCAGGGGTGGGCCGTGGGGCCAGAGAGGACTGGAGAAGTGGGGTGGCAAGGGGGCAGCGGGCAGGCCAGGTAAGAAGGTGGCTGGCAGAGTGAGTGGTCCCACACCTGCAAATGGATAAACCGGGAGGAACAACCAGGGACCAAACAGACCACGCCACCCAGGGTTCCAGGGTGGGGAAATAAAGCCTCAAAATCTCTGACTGAAAACACCTGTGGGGGCTGAGGCAGCAGGAGGAGAAGCTCCCAGCCTCACAGGTGAGTTTGTTGGAGAGAACCACAGGGTCCTAGAATGTACACAAAGCACCCACCTGGGACTCAGCAGCAGAAGGGCCCAATTTGCTTGTGGGTGGGGGGGGAGTGAATGAAAGCCAGTGAGGGCTGAGCAAGTGACACTGTTCCCTCTCAGACCTCTCCCCCCTATACAGTGCCACAATGCAGTGACCTGGGTTGCCCCACCCTAGTGAATATCTAAGGCTCTGCCCCCCTACTGTGTCACAGGTGTGCTGAGACCAGAAAAAAAAAATGGCTCAAATGAAAGAACAGAGCAAACTTCGAGAAAAAAATACAACTGAGGTCTACAGAGGTAGCTGACCTCTCAGCTGCAGTGTTCAAAACCCTGGTGATCAGCATGCTCGCAGAAATGGTTGAGTGTGGTTGCAAAATAGAGGAAAAAGTGAAGGCTATGAAAAGTGAGATAAAGGAAAATGCACAGGGAACCAACAGTGACAGGAAGGAAACCTCAACTCAAATCAAGGGTTTGGAGCAGAAGGAAGAAGTAAACGTTCAACCAGAATGAAAAAAAAAAATAAGAAGAAGAATTGGAAAAAAATGAGGAGAGGCTTAGGAACCTCTGGGACAACTTTAAGTGTTCCAACATCTGAATCGTG